CCAGGTTGGATGAGGCTTTGAGCAACCTGGTCTAGTGGAAGGTGTCCCTGCTGCTGGCAGGGGGGTTGGGACTGGATGAGCTCTAAGGTCCCTCCCAACCCAAACCAGTCTGGGATTCTGTGAAAAAGTGCCTGTTCCCCACTAGAAAGATGTCTAATTTTGCTTTGAGTCCAGGGGGAAACCCCAAAGACAACTGTTGTGCTTCTTCTGGCTGCCCCAGGCAGTATAGGGCTATTCCCTTTCCCCCTGGCCTTGGTGTCCTTCCCTGGGGCTGTGACGCTCCCCTGGCACCCATGGGTGCTGCTTGCCTGGGATCACGTTGTGCTCCGGGGCAGTGACCGAGGGGGAAGAGACTACAAGGACGTTGCAGAATGGAAACATTTCACCACGTGTGTTGGGTTTTTTTCTTTCCCCTGTTAAAAACACTATTTTCAGCAGCATGTGGGCAGGGTGAGGTTGAGTGTGTTTGATAAAAGCCATTGCTGGGTGCTAAAGTTCACTCAGCAGCACGGGGACACGTGGGCTCGGCTCGCACGGGGCTGCATCCTGGTCAGCAGGGATGCTCCGGCTGTGAGGAGCCCCACAGTCCGGGAGGAGCCTGCCTGGTGAGACCTAACGGAGTGGGCCTGGAAAGGAAGGAGAAATGCTTTTCTGTTGAATGTCTGTTCTTTAGATCTGGATGGGTTTTTTGGAAAGTTGAATCTCCACCAGGAGGAGAAGGGTAGAAGGTGAACCCTGCGCCGTACGGAGCGGGAGCTCAGCTCCACACGCCGCTGCTCAGTGCGCGCTGGAATTGTATTTCCTGTTGTATGGAAAGCGCCCACGGAGTCTGGTCACTCCTGCCTGGCTTTGGTTTGCTCTCTCACTGCCTCTGCCAAATTCAACTGGCTTTTTTGAGTATGTCTGAAGGGATTTTTTTTTTTTTTTGCTTTCCCCTCTGGTCCGACCCTGCCAGTTTCCATGGCCACAAGCACTTCCCTGCATCATGGCAGTGTTGGGGTTTTGCTGTTTATGGAGCAGTCGAGCTCTGCTGTCCATGAACTTGAAAGAGTTCCTGTTTTAGCAACACACTCTTAAGGGAGGCAGTTACCTCTGCAGACGGGCGGAGGAAGCTGCGTGACGAGAGCGGGCTTCGCACCTCGGCGGGATGCCCCGGGAGGGCGGGTGTGTGCAAAACCTCCCCTTCCCTCTTACACAAAACCTTGTCTTGTCTTTTCTCCGCTGTAGGGAAGAGCAGTGAAAGAGCCTCGTACTCCACGTTCGGAAGAGACACGGGGATGCCAGGACTAAACCAGGTAACAATAAAATGCGTTGAGATTTTTTTTGCTTCCTTTACTGGCTGGGAGGGAGAACCTGGGAATGAAAAGTAACCTGGTGGCTTGTGTCTCACTTCTGTGCATGAGGTTCTGGAAAGCCTCTGCTCTGCTCAGAAACCTCTGGTCATTGTCAGTGGTTTATACGGGCGTGCGTTGCTGTCTCAGAAGAGTTGTTAGAGTTTAGGAAATGGAGTTGTAGCAGCTTCTCAGTTCTTTTCAAAACCTTTTCAGCCTTGCTCACTTTATTATTATTAATCCTGTTTCTAGCTGATTTGTATTTATTCAGATGTCACCAAGCCAACACTGCCCTTGGTGGGCTTTTCAGTGAGTCAAATCCGAGCAGCCCCTTTCCCTGTGACCGGGTGGTAAATCCGAGCAGCCCCTTTCCCTGTGACCTGGCCGTGGGCAGAGGAGCAGAGCTCTGGGAGGCACCTTCTCCCTCCGGCTGCTTTGCCTCAGGCTCTCACTTTGCCTCCAAGCACCGCACCCAGTGCTACGTGACCAGCCATCTCCCTCCCCGGCCAGTGTCCCCTTGTACCCTGGCCAGCACCCCCGTGTCCCCCTGCTCACCAGTTAAGGGGGGGAGAGTCTGTAAGATGGTTTCTGTGCTGTTATAACATCGTTTTGGTGGATATCGGGTGCTGTTTTGGTTTTATGGTGGTTCTGTCGATGGAGGACCTGCAGCAGATGCTGATCTCCACAATCAGGAGGGGACACAGCATGGGAGAGCTGCCTCTTGCAGTGACAACCCTGCCCTGTTGGGTCACCCCAGGTGAACCCCAGTGGGAGGACCAGGGCTGTGCTGTGGGGAAAAATTTACTTCCCATGGGGAATACCACAGGCGTAAATCAAAGCCCAGGAACGCAGTCGACCAGCCCTGAGATAATCCATCCTGCTGCCACTGGCATCCAGAAATAGTTTTTCGGGAAGGAGCGAGCACCTTCGCTTTGATGTGTTGCTGCAACTGCCCCATCAGTGCCCGAGTGTGGCTCGAGGAAACAGTCCCACCATTTTATTCAAGGGAGCAGCTTTTGGCTGGACAGCTTTTTATTTTATACATGTACATACACACACACACACACACATATTACATGTTTTAATTTTACACAAATTTGTCATAATTTCCTTTTCTCTGAACTGAGGATGTTTCCTTTGCTGAAACAGCTGTGCTGGCTGTCTGTGCCAGAGTGGATTTAATTTACCACTGAAGCTGCTAAAATAAAAACGGGACAGATGCCAAGCCTCGCTTTTTAATGTTACGGTTTTGCTGGAGTTTCATGGAGGAGGGGGAGATATAAGGTAACAGAAATGGGGTGGGCAAATGGTGCCGCGGGCTGGGAGAGGCCCTGGCGCGGGCGCGCGGGTCCGGATCGGGTGGCAGAGCGGGAGATGGAGCCCGTTTGATGTGGAGGGGAGACAAAACCCCTCTTGTGCGGGGCGGCGGGAGGCGAGCGGGGCCGTCTGCACGCTCGCTGCGGCCCCCAGAACAGTTGTTGCTTCTGGCTCCAGGTTTTTTTTGGGGGGTGTGGGGGGATTGACCTGTTTTTTTCCTTTTTGAAAAGTGCTGGAAAATTGTCCAGTGGCAGATGCCCTGGATGGGGAGCACGTTCCCCCCCAAAATGCCCTCCTCTGGGGCAGAGCTGCGACTCCCTCCTCATTTGACCCTTAACCATCTCTGGAGGTGTCCCCAGGGAGAGGGAAGGGGAAGAAAATCCCTTTCTTTGGGAAATTGCCTTAAAATCTCAGTGATTCTCTGGACGTATCTGCTCGAGGAGCCAGGCAGCAGTGACCCAGTCTTCAGGGGTCTTCTCCAGGGTCTTCTCTGGGATCTCCTCTGAGATCTCCTCTGGGGTCTCCTCCAGGGTCTTCTCTGGGATCTCCTCTGAGATCTCCTCTGGGATCTTCTCCTGGATCTCCTCCGGGATCTCCTCTGAGGTGCTGTGCCACACACTTTTCTTGGCCACGCTGCTCCATGGTGCGTAGCGTTTTCAGTGTGAAGGTAATATGACCGGTGGAACAGATTGCAGGAATTTCACCAGCTGTGAATACATGAGCTCCTCTTTCACTCCCCGACCCCTTTCTGACCCCTTTCTGGAGGAGATGGGAGTTTTAAAGCAGTGGGGTTTTCTTTCCAGTTTCTGAAAAGCCTGAAATCCTCCTTTATTTCAACGTGTTGCCCTCGGAAGATGGGTCAGAGACAAGCTTTTGTTACTTAAAGGCCCTTTGCCAGCCCTCTTAAATTCCACATAAATACATTTAACTTTCTCCCGAGGTGAAAGGGGCAATGCTGGGCGTGCTCCTGGAGCAAAGGCTCCATCCCTGGGCTCTGGCTCCTGCCGACTCCGCGCTGCTTCCCAGAGTGCCCAAGGTCAGCGGGGATAAACACGAGGGAGGAGTTTCCTCTTTTTAGAAAAGAGAGATTTGACTTTTCCCTGATAAAATACGAGAGAAAACCACCCCCAGCAGAGACACTGCAGCTCTGTTGCATCGTCCACAATGGGTCCGGCTGCGCGGTGCTGGGGATGGGAGAGAAACCGTCAGTGCTGGCAGCCGGGGCTGGGTTTTACGGCTGGTGGAGAGACTGGAAGAGGCACAGTCAGATGAGATGGGCCACTGGCTGCATGTCCTCTCCTGTCTTTTGCAGTGGGAGAGACGTGGGAGGCTGGGGGCTTTGCTGTGGGGTGAGCACTGTGTCTGTCCTCTGCGCTGCCCAGGTCCCTGACGGCATCACCGGGCGAGGGGCAGCATGAGGCTGTTGGGTTGGATGTGTTTTGAGGATGGGCAGACATGCTGTGCCCATCGAGTGTGTGTCCTCCCCGGCACCAAAGCACTGATCACATCAGAAACTGTCATCCCTGGCTGTAAAACCTGGGAGGTGGTGAGGGAAGGGTTTTGTCCTGACTCGGTCAGTTTGCCCTGCGTGGGCAGAGCTCGTTGGCCCCTGCAGATGCTTCTCCCCCCTTGGCTCTGTGGGTAGGCTGGCGAGGCAGGTGGGGAGCGCTCTGCAATATTGGATGTGAGGAAGAATTTCTTTGCTGAAAGGGTTCTGAGGCATTGGAAGGGGTTGCCCAGGGCAGTGGTGGAGTCCCCATCCCTGGAGGGATTGAAGAGTCGTGTAGACACAGTGCTGAGGGACATGGGTTAGTCGGGGACTTGTCAGTGTTGGGTTCATGATGGGACTCCATGAGCTTCAAGGGCTTTTCCAGTCGAGGTGATTCTGAGATTCTGATTCTGTACCATCACCTCCTCTTTGCCTTCAGCATCTTGGGCTGATAAAACTGTCACCAGGGTCTCATTCTGCCCTCGTGGGAAGTGAAGTGAGCATGGGACCACGCTGCTCCCCCGTAATGGCACCTGCTAGTTTGCATCCTGGGTTGGTAGAGAGCTTCATTGCTGGGGTCCAGCCAGAAACCACAGCTTGAAAGCCTCTTTTCTTACATCCATATATTCCCCCACAGCTGCCCCCATATCTACAGATTTGTTTTTTTCCTTTTGACCTTTGGCTCCTCTTTTTTTTTTTCCCTTGGCTGAATTTGTGCAGCTCAAGGCAGCTCTGTTCTCTCCCAGCAAGCACGGTGGTTTCCCAGCGTAATTACATGGAAGGGCTTTTCTGTCTCCTTGTTTGCAGACTGGTTTCCTGCCCAGTGAAATGGGAATCGCAAGTCCGAGCACACTTTCCCCCACCGGGGTGAAAGGAGGGTCCCAGTATTTTTCTTACCCCAACAATCCTCGCAGGAGAGGTGCTGAGAGCAACATAGGTAAGTCACTTGGTGTCACCCTCGGGTGCCACCGCTCTGGTTTGTCCTGCAGCTTGGTCAGGCAACCGCGGGCGCTGCCGACTGGGCGGGCGGCTGCGTGGGATCATCCTTTGGGAATGAAAGCACTGGTGCTGCCGTGTGTACACACAGGGCTGCATTTGCTTTTTTAGGGAGGAGGGAAATATATATTTTTTTTTTAAAAAAAAAGAGAATTTGGGTTGAGTCTGCTGTAGAATTTCCTTCTTTCTGGAAAACATCAGATAAAGGTGAAAGCAGCAAATGACTTGAGGTTCTCTAAAAATGCTTCCGGCCACACTGTACATCCGTAGTCATTCCTGGAAAACCTTGAACCACCTTTGAGGCTGTTTTTATGGCTGCTGGCCCTCCTTGGAGCCCCTGTCCTGCTGCAAGCAAACGGGACTGCCAGGAACAAGTCATTGAGAAGTGGTGTGAGGTCCAGGCGCTTGCCTGGGCATGGGGGCTGTGTCCTGGGACACAGACAGTGTTTGCTCCAGGACCTCTCCCTGCCTGCTGCCATGTTCCAGAGCAGGAGTGTCTGGATCTCCCTGGGAATAAGCCATTTTGCTTTTAACAAAGCCCAAGGTCAGGTGTGAATTTAACTTTCGAGTGAAGACAAGCCCCGGTTCTCCAGAACTTGTGTTTCTTGTCATAGTTCCCCCACACACCCTCCAAGGTCACTTTCTTGCTGCTATTTTAGGCTTTCCCCAACAAACGAAACCAGAAGTGACCCAGTGTTACATGTCTTCTTTCCAGTGCTTTTCAGAAAAAGGCATCCACTTTGATATTGCTGCTTTAAAACGTTGCTGGTTTGCATTGTCAGCCTGGAAGATGATTCTTTTGCATCAAGTCATTGTGTGGGATGAATTTCTGAGCTACAACCCAGCAGTGTCCCTTGCTTGGCAGACTTGTTGTGTTAGCATCCTGCACCCCCCAGCTGGGGCTTTCCTTAATTATGAACTGAAAAAAACCCAAAAACCCCTCAATTTTTTAAGCACTGCTTCCCCTTGAGCCACTTCTTGAGATGTTTCCCTCATCACCTCCCTGAATTGTCACCTTTCCCCTAGGACACTGTGTCCTCTCCCCTCAGAGCTGGACCTGGTGAGGTGGACTGGGGGGGACCAGTCTGGGGCGAGCACCATCCCTGCCTTCCTGCTTTCCCTTCAGTATATCACTGTATATGTGTGTATATATATATATATATAGGATATATAATAAGTATATTATTGTAAAAGGAACAAATGAAAATACAACCCCATCCCTGCATTTGTTCTTTCTGCATCCTCTCAACACAAACCCGCTTCGAATTAAATTGTTTCCGAAAAAAAAACCCCAATGAGAGGTTATTTGTGGGTTCAATCTCTTCCAAAGAGCAAGAGCAGCCCTTCTCTGCAGGGTGAGCACCTCTTACCACACTGGTTTGGGAGAGACTCCCCTGTGAACTCTGTTGGTGGGTGAAACCTGCCCTCGAGGGTACAGGTGAGACGAGGAGGAGAGGTTCATCCTCTGACGTTCTCTCTATTGATCCTTCCTCAACTACGGGACATTTGAGATCTCAGCCCTGTTTGTACCTGCATCTTCCATCCTTGGAGACTTATAGGTTGTTGTTTTCTCTCCTGCTAATCCCCTTCAAAAATTAGATCCTCTCTTCTTTTCTTTAAACCAGATGGACAGCCCAAAAAGGTTCGGAAGGTGCCTCCTGGACTCCCCTCCTCGGTAAGTGTCAGGAATGTTTTCCCTGCAGGTATCCCCTCCCTGTTCCTCCATCCCCTGAGCATCCCTGCTCCCTTTGCTGCGAGAGCTGCTGGCCCTATGGGTCCAGCCACCCCAAACATCGAGGGCTTGGATTTTAACAGGATGGGGAAGGGTTTTCCAGCTACAGCTTCCTATGTGGGAGAAATGGGGCAGCGCTGTGAGCCTGCAGCGCTGGGGCACTAATCGGAGAGGAGGAGCCGCGATGCTCCCCGTGCGACACTTCCCCGGCTGGACCCCGGACCCATCACCTCTGCCCTTGCTGGTTCTTGTCTGTTTGACGTTGTGTCACGAGTGCCCGTGTGAAATGTAATATTCAGTGTGATCAGATTGCACTCCAGAAGGGAAACCAGAGCGGCTGTAACGCGGGCGGGCAGCTGGGGCTGCTCCAGGTGTGTGCGCTGCCTGCGCTGTTTTATAAGAAAGCCGAGCAGGCTGCAGGGATACGTTAGCCCTGCTCCTGCGGCTGTTCCAGGGGAATAAACTGAACAATGTCTTTGTGGCTGGAAGTAATGGGATCTCCAGGAAAGCTTAATTGGAGCGGGCTGGAGGGTTCCTGCAGGAATATGGGAGCTGTCTGGCTGTGCAGCAGCCGAGGCTGCATTCCTCGCTGGAGCGTTTGCGTGCTTGCAGGGGGACGGGTGGGCTCTGTCCTGCAGGCGAACTGGAGCCCAAACTGGGTTTGTGCTGGAGCCCAGACTGGGGCTTAGCTGGAGGCCAGACTGGGATTGAGCTGGAACCCAGACTGGGGTTGAGCTGGAACCCAGAGTGGGGCTGTGCTGGAGCCCAGACTGGGGCTGAGCTGGAGGCCAGACTGGGATTGAGCTGGAACCCAGACTGGGGTTGAGCTGGAACCCAGACTGGGGCTGTGCTGGAGCCCAAATTGGGGTTGATCTGGAGCCCAGACTGGAGTTGAGCTGGAGCCCTAAATGGGGTTGAGCTGGAGCCCAGACTGGGGCTGAGCTGGAGGCCAGACTGGGGCTTAGCTGGAGCCCAAACTGGGGTTGAGCTGGAGCCCAGACTGGAGTTGAGCTGGAGCCCTAAATGGGGTTGAGCTGGAGCCCAGACTGGGGCTGAGCTGGAGGCCAGACTGGGGCTTAGCTGGAGCCCAAACTGGGGTTGAGCTGGAGCCCAGACTGGTCTCTGCCCTCAGAAATGGTCCCGAAGCTGGCAGTGGTGGGTGGGGGAAGGAAAGGAAGGCACCGAGGGCTCGCTGGGTTGGGTTTGCAGACCAGAGGGTGTTGGAGGGTCCCTGCAGATCCCATTGTGCAGAAAGCATCTCCAGTCAACAGTGCTGAGCTGCTCCAAGAGTCTGTGTTTTAACAGGGAAAACCTGCTCAGAGCAGAATCCCTGTCACTGCGTTGAGTTTCTGTGTGAAATTCGGAGCTTTTAAACCTCGCTTGACGTGTGGGGAAAACATCGCTCCCGACAAATGGCCTTTTATTGGCCTCAGATTTCAAAGCTGACGGGACTTGCTGCCTGTTGTGCTGGAGATGCCCTAAAGGGCCCCAATTCCCGCAGGAAGAGCCGCTCGGCCTTTGCCAAAACACAGCCCTTTCCCTGTGTCTGAGCCGACACCTGCACACCGGCTTTTCCAGCCCAGAGAGCCCTGGCTGTCACCTTGACTGGCCCTTGACCACAAAACTCCAGGTTTTTTGCTGAACGGGTGATGCTGCCTCTTATCATAGAATCACAGAGTGGTTTGGGTTGAAGGGACCTTTCAAGGCCACCTAGTCCAACCCCCGGCAGTGAGCAGGGACATCTTCAACCAGATCAACTTCCTCACAGCCCCGTCCAGCCTGACCCATGAATGTTTCCAGGGATGGGGCCTCCACCACCTCTCTGGCCAACCTGGGCCAGTGTCTCACCACCCTCAGTGTAAAAAATTTCCTCCTTATATCTAGTCTAAATCTCCCTCTTTTAACTTAAAACCATCACCCCTTGTCCTATTGCTACAGGCTCTATGGAAAAGTCTGTCCCCATCTTTCTTAGAGGCCCCTTCAAGTACTGAAAGGTGCAATGTGGTCTCTCCAGAGCCTTCTCTTCTCCAGGCTGGACAGCCCCAACTCTCTCAGCCTGTCCTCACAGCAGAGCTGCTCCAGCCCTCGCATCATCCTCGTGGCCTCCTCTGCACTGGCTCTAGTAGCTCCATGTCCTTGTGCTGTTGGTGGCCCCAGCACTGGAGGCAGCACTGCAGGTGGGGTCTCAGGAGAGCAGAGCAGAGGGGCAGAATCCCCTCCCTGGACCTGCTGCCCACGCTGCTCTGGGTGCAGCCTGAGGTGCTGTTGGCTTTCTGGGCTGCCAGTGCACATTAACACACGTTTCCGCTGCCCTCTCTTTGCCGTGACCTCTGGCTTCTCATTTTGTTTTTGAATTTCCACACCTGGGAAGAGCAGTCGGCATCGAGGTGGCGAGAGAAGCGTGGAGCAAAAGGAGTCACCGGCCTCAAAGGCAGCAGATCAAAGGCTCTTTCTTGTCTGACTTGCCTGCGCAGGATCCCGCCTCCTGTTATCACTGGACCCCGTGCAAAATAAATAGGTTAATCAGCATCTTATTAAAATAAAGTGCTTTAATCTGTAATTCCCAAGCTGCTTTGAAAACTCGGAGGGGTCAGTGGCTGAATAGTTGAGGTGGCTGAAAGGGGAGTGATTCTGCTGAAGGCACCAAGAGACGCTGGCAGCGTGAGATGGTTGAAGAGGGGTGAGAAGGGTGATGCCTGGCAGGGGTGACCACAGAGGGTGCAGAGGTACCTGTGCTTGTGCCCCGCAGCCCTTTGGGGTAAATTCTTGTGAAATAGGTGCTGAGCTAGGGCAGTGGCACACTCTGGGGCTGCCCCTGGGGTACAGAGCCCCTGTAATGTGGGGCTGGAAGCAGGATTAGTGCTCGTGGCTGTGTTCCTCTGTGGGCTGGCATGTCCAGGCACAGCACCTGGGGCTGGATGAGGCCCCCGAGCTCTTGCCGCACGTCAACCGGCTTTGCCGGAGGAAGGCAGAGAGGGAGGAAGGCAGAGAGGGATTTTGTGCAGGTCGGTTCCTGAAGGATTTAGTTGCTGCAGAGAGTGGGGTGGCTGGGAGCTGTTTCAGCCCACGAATTCACAGTCTGGTCACTGCTCTGTTTAGCTTGAGTCTGCCTGAAGTCCCACCCCAGTTCATGCATTTCAGCAAGAAAAACAGGGAGGAGAATTAAAAAAAAAAACCCCAAAAAACAGCAAAACCAACCCAACACCACAAAACCCTGCGAATCCCAGCGCTGGGGCTTTTCATGCAGCTCTCTCGCCGCGCTGGCAATTTTAACCGGAGGAAATGACCTCACCTGGAGGTCCCCGAGGCCGCCGCCGGCGCGAGGGTTTGGGGCCGCGGGTTGGGGAGCTGAGACCTGGCGCTGATTTACTGTTTCCTGCGGCGCTTGGCCGGCGGCCGCTGGCTCGGCCGCTTCCCCCACGCGCGACGGGGCTGGGATGCTCCTCGCTCGGCCAACGCGGGGAAAAGCAGAGTTGGTTTTTCACAACCTCCCCTGCGCTGAGCAGTGAAATGAAAGATTTAGAGGGGCGGTGAATCGTGGCCCCCCCCAGCATCCCAACAGGAGATGGGGGGGCTCGGGGATGGTGGGGCTGAGCAGATACACAGCAAGGCGAACTCCCTCCTGCTTTGCAACCCCGGGCCGCTCATCCCTGCTATTTTATTCTTTTTCTTTTCGCTTTGGATTTATTAAATGGATGTTGAAGCTCGCTGCGGCCCCCCCGGCCCGCGGCCGCCCAGCCTCGCGCGCTGGCCAGGTGCCAGCCCCTGGCAGATGGCGCGGGGCTATTAGACGTGCTTCATTCGATTCCCTGTCCCAGCTCCCGCTATTTAATCAAATTATAGGAAAAGT